GACGCAAGTATGCCGGACGCAAGTCTGTCGGACAATCTGTATCCACACAAACAGGAAAAGATCCTGTACAAGTGGAATATTGATGTTGTGTACGATGCAGTAGGGAATAATGCAAGATATCCCAAAGTACTGCATTCAACACAGAATTGCCGTAGAAGTCAAATCGAGTTCTGTAAATAAGGGATTTTCCAAGGGAAAATCGTCGAACTCACTTTTGTGATTGAATCATCAATTCAAGCCAAACATTAATCAAATAGGAACAATTTCACTCAAAGTATACCTAGACACAGGAGAACTATTGTCGTGAAAGTGTTGTACAGTCGATTAGGAATTTAGATTGCAGAGAGTTTGTTCTGAGCGCTAAAAGCACTCACGATAGAGCACATTTTGCTTTATTCTAACACTGGCCACTTGGCATGAATCTTGATGTTTGTCCACTCGTCGGCAGTAATGTTGATTCCAATTGCTTCCTGAACATCTTGTTTTGTAAAGGCACCGTATGTCCCTTCGCAGCCCATGAGAGCCAATAGGTAAGGTCTTCGGGCACTTGGCTTTTCCTTTTTGAGCTTCTGGATAAGTTGCATTCCGATTTGTCCCAAAGCTTCTTTGATGGCGTTCACTCTTACAGCCCTTTTCTTTGCTGCTTTTTCGTCTTTTGATTGGGTTCGCTTCTTGTTGTTGGAGGCCCTGCTTGAGACGTTTTGAGAGACAGATCCAAAGTCTTGCAATCGTCTCACTTTGACTACGGTGCCATTTTCTGTCGTTTCTTGCGGGGTGGTATTAGGAGGCGTTACGGGAAGATCTGGATGTAGAGTAAGTGGACTCTCCTTTGGTTTCGGTGTTGATGTTTCATTCGAAGCTGCTCCTTCTTTAAGACGGCGTCGCTTCTTCCTTCTTTCATATTCTTCAATCTCGCGTAACTGTTTCTGACCTACCTCAGCATGCTTGTTGCAGACTGCCACGACATACTCGGCTTTTCGGCGTCTGTCGGGAGTTGATTCTGGAGTTTTTCCATATGCAATGTCCAGTGCAGCAATTGACGAATTTAATCCTGTTTTCAGATGTTTGGATTTTGAAGATTTGGATGTTCCATTTCTTGGAACAACCAGACTGTCTTGCCGAGTGAGTTCCTTGAGATAGCTTCTTCGGCGTTCCTCCCGTGATGTTTCTCCTCTAACTCTTTGAAAGAAATCCTTGGCTCGAGGCCGAGTTTGCTCTCTCAATCTGCTTCTCTTGCGAGCAGCATCAGGTCGATTGCACATCATTTGGTGTGCTCCTTTCGACGGAAAAGCTTCGTACCGATCCGTCCAGGTACGATTTCGCTTTTGGTGACGGTTCTCACTTGGATTGGATGGATCCTCCTTGGTCGCTTGCCGAAGGTGTGGGTGCAAAACGTGGCAGACACCTTTGTGTGCAATATTGTGACTGGCCAAGTGAAACTGAGTTTTCCCATCCAGCTTCTTACACGCTCGACACATATCTTCTCTCAAGATTTTCTGTCTTGGGAATTTCCACAAACAAGAGTTGGACTCGCATGGAGTATTCCTCCCCATGATGGTTGATGGTTTGAAAAGAAGGATTATCAAGAGGAACAATGATAATCTGATGATGTGTGTGTTGCAGCTGGCTAAGATTAGGGTGAACTATATCAATAACTATAAAAGATTAATTGTTGCTGTGATTGTTTTGAGACTTGTAGACGTTTCGAACACGTTTTGAATGCCATCATGCCGTTAGTGGTTGGAGTTTTCGTGAAAATGTGACCCGCGGGAATACTGGTTTCATATTAATGATAACAACTATTTAAATCCCATCATTCGTACAAAAAAGAGGTAGGATATTCTACATACTTCAGGCTTGGTACATATTCTACGTGATAGAAATAACGGTTTCTCCCCCCCCATAATCAAAATAACTCCCCGCAAATTTCCCCTGAAACCGTCTGTCATTTTTGCAACTGGTTTTCTCCAAAACGGTCTCTTAAAGTTAATAGCGCGAAACCGGAACAATCGTGCGTGCATGCACCTGATCCATTTGGTAGTCGCATTGGTCATGTACCAATTACTTGTCTACACTTTCTTTGGGAAAATACCATTCTACAGTACACCGCGGTCTGCTCATTTCCTCTGGTTTGATAGCGCCGTACTGCTCATCATGTCATCCGATCCCTCAAGCTTGGATTCATCCATGTAGTGATGGCATGTGATGTCCTCAATATTTGCCTTCCAGTTGATGAAGAAATGGAGATGCAATGGACTATTGGAATATGCTGTCTACTGCAAAAGGATCCTTTTTATGAATGGTTGCCATGTGCAACCAAGCCAAACAGGCAGGATATCAAAAGCAATTGAGTTTACTTGAGCTTACGACTGCTATGGCCTGAATGTTCAAGCAATGAGTGACGCGGCCAAATGCGTTTCATTTACTTCATTATGATTGCCGCTCCAGCATTACCTTCATTGACAAGCAAGAAATCCAAAAACTTCAAGGAGCAGAAAGCATATCACAGCGCAGAACCATTACTGCAATCGATTGATTGGAAGGTTTCGACAAATTCATGGGAGACAACCTTAGCCACCTGCCAGTTTGCGACCTTGAATTGTGAGGGATAGGCTACTCCTCACTTGTTTCAAAAACGAATCCAGCAAATCCAACCTATCAGCTGATTAAATCAGCTGACAAAATGTCAGAGGACTTTGACACTGCAAGCAGACAAGCAGGGGTTGGCAAAGAATTGGGACTGGTCCGCCCTGATCGTGTCAAAGAGAGATATCTACTATAGGAATACTGTAATTGAAATGATAGGACTAAGAAATGGTGACTAAAATTGTTGTAGTATACTATACTATATACTAGTAGTAGTTTGGTTTCTAGCCAAATAATCTTACAAGTTTGTTCATGGACATGTACGCCTTGACAACTGTTTCTTGAGCCTCATAGTATTCCCCATCAGGAAATCTTTCATCCAAATGGTAAGGATTGTCATTCGTTTTGGACTTGCAACGCCTTCTTCTTCTTGACTTGCTTTGCATTGAACGTATCCACACTTGGAATTGTCGGATATCTTAGAATTGTCGGATAACATAGATTGGCAACAATTCCCCTCTTGGAAGCTACCTTATTTGCCAAATAGGCTACCGTTGTCTCTTTCTGTTTCATCAAGACGGCTTCTTCTTCCTTCAATCGCTCCTCCCTCCTTTGTCTGTTCCTTTTTTTATTCCTATCCTCCTTTTCCTTCTTCTTCTCCGTGGCACTTTTTCTTTGCATTTCATCCTGTTCTTCCATTAATTTCACCTTCTTCTTCTTGCTTAGCACTACAACTCCTGGTGAAAGGAAGGAGTTCCGCTTTCTCTCTCTTGTTGTGTTGCCAGATTGGTATTGTGGAGACTTTGTTTTGGAGCCATCTATTGATTAATTGTATTGTTCTTTTGGGAGTTTACCTATGGAAAGAAAAGGGTAGTGCTAGATACCAGAAGAACAAGGAGGTTAGCTAGATTTCAACAGTGCTGTTTTTTTGTTTGTTCAAACCAACGTTACTTTTTCGTTTGTTCAAACCAACATTGTCACAAGTGTTATCGTCCTTGCTATGGGAGGCTAGAATGTCTAGAGCAAGAAATGACACGGCATTTGTCATGATAAACTAGTGAAAAGAGCAGAAGATCAAGTGCAATGAAGTCTTTTATTTTATTTTGATGTGAATGGGACCGCGGGAGGCTCCAATATTGATGCGCGCCCGGTTTTTTCTAGAAAAAATGCCATGATTACAAATAAAATAAACAAAACAGCAAAATGACCATGACCATTGCTCCACTTTTCGGCATCATTCGTACGACTGATGAAGCATGGGAGTCAACGATCAAAACAGCATCCTATGGAAGTCTATCAAGGTTGACTTTCCTACTTTTGTCTACTTTTTGGAGCAGCATTACGTGATGCGCAAACGCAACAATATCACCTCACGGATCCGTCCAGCAGTTTCATTGGGTGCCTCACTACTCGGATAGCTCTTTTTGAGCCAGGGTCCAGCTAGAGCAGTTTTTTTTATTGCACAATGCTTTGCTAATAGCGGAATTAAAGGTCCAACAAACCGTCTTTCAGACACGAGTCGCCGCCATATCCAATCTTTGATGGCTTGGACTCCATTCGTGTTCGGACTCTTTTTGCGCTCGCCCTTGGTTGTGATGCATTGCCTGGCGGTATAGTTGGTTTTGGGGCTAAGAAATCAGCTGCAGTCAGATCAAATATTGATTTCAGCGGGGCGGATCCAGATGAAGCTAAGGAAAAGTTTCTGACGGATCTCGTGGAAGCGTCATCGCGATTCAAACCCACAAGATATATGTTCCGGCAGGACTTCAGCGCGACAACTTTATCTGTCTGTCCAATAGTCTCAAATATGAGCCGACACCTTCTGGCTGTTTGACAGGGGAGCACCAGCCCAACTGGAAAACGTCCGTGTTGTGAGAAGTGGCGTCGCAAAGGGAAAGCGTGTTAAATCTTAATGCACTTTGGCGACCATCAGATGGAATGGACGAACAAATCTACAACTTGCAGGTTACTAGATGGATCAACTCCAACAATTCGCATTGACGGTTTCTTGGCACCAGTTGGCACCGGTAGCAAAGGATTCTGAAGCCCAACAAAGACAGTCAGCAAAGGCGTGAGTTCCGATAGGCCACTTCTCTGCTCAACTGTGGTTTCTCTGGTGTCTGAACATCTAGTGACCCACAGTGTACATCTAGACCAGCGGCTTCAACCAAGAATCGCTGGTTGATATCACCCCACGATTGCTCTCCCAACATAACATCATCCACTTCATGACCCTACCTGTTGGATCGCAAAGCCCAATTCATTGTGTGCTTTTGTTTCCTCGACATGAGAAACATATTCCTAGCGAGATGGAAGAGTTGGAGCGCCCTTGTATCAAACCAAATGATCTAACTCCAATGGAAGTAAAGCGTCGAACCGGATTCAGAGATTTGCCGAACCTCCTCTCTTATGCGATTCTTGTGTGCCATGGTGATTTGGATCAGCTTTTCACAACATGTTCCAAACTCACTTGGCTTGAAGAGTGGTTGTTTTACTTTGAGTTCAAGTATGGTCGAACTGCCTGTAGATGGAAAGACTATGAGAAGAGGTGCAAGCCCTTGCAAAAGCCCCTTCAAAAATTCCTGCTGGAAAAGTTGTCACTTGAGCTTGGAACTCGAGACCAGTGGCGCATGTATGCTGCTTTTGAGGAAGATGCAAGGTTTTGTGATAGAAAGTGGGATAACTACTTCGATCCAATCACTGGTGAGAGAGTTGTGATGCATGATGCGGCCGGTATTCCTTTGCCATGCCCATCGAAGACAGAACTCCAACGAGCACTTTTCAGTGACTACTATGGTACGACGTGCGCCAAGGCAGGCGTCAGCAATCAACTTTGCGGGTGGATACGAGGAATGCCTCTCATGACTGGAAGAATCACAGATTCGCAAATGATTAAAGACTCAGAGGTACTGGTAGAGCAACGGAAGTTTTCAGAGGCCATACTTCTCTAAATGAACCATTCGACAATATATTCGACAAAGGATTCAGAAACACGCTTGACGCAAGCATGGAGGGCCAACGATGTATGTAACCAACATACTCAAAAGGGGATTCTCAATTCACTGGAAATGATACTTTACACTCTGCTTGTATTGCTGTAATACGATCTGGAAATGAACGTGCTGTTCAACGCTGCAAGATGCCGTGGTACCTGAAACGTGGCTGTTCATATCAACCATGGGATATTGAATTATTTTGTGGCATTTGGGAAGCTTGGACATTTCAAGTGAACTTCGTGCACGATTAATATCTCTAGACATTAGTTATCATTATTATACCTTATTTTGCCACCGTGGTTCTTAGTCCGATACATCTAACTGGGGTACGATTGTTCTTCAATTTCTACTGATTTTTAGTGGTAAAAAGTACGTGCTTCGCCAGGCTTGCATCAAAAAATTCACCCTCCCGCGGTCCCATTGTGAGTTGAGGTTGTCGAAACCTAATTGAGCTTTGGCCAATCAGAATCGTTCGATTTCAAAATGCACCATGCATGGACAATCGTCCAGCTCGAGCCAAAATGGATGCAGCTCAAGGGGGGTACCCGGAAGTAACTGTCCAGCGTGGAAAAATTCACGCTGCATGCATCATTTTTGGTTCGATAACTTTCCGCCTAAAAAACTTAGCATCTCTGATCTCCATGTGATCAATACAGACGGTAATTGTTTGATTATGTTGATACAATTCCTCTGGTGGACTGAAGAAGTCATCGTGTGTCTTCTTCGGAGTTGGTCTTGTCGACTTGCCCTTCAAAGTAGATGCGTCAGGTCCAAAGATTGCTTCGGCATGATTGATCGCTTCTTAAGTGATAGGACAGTTCTTGATGAGACCAGATCGGATCGCATACTTCAGACTTTTGGTGTTTGGAGCATTGAGTATGTGCATCGCACTTCTCGCTTCCAT